AGAAGAATAATTGTAACCAACATATATCCATAATAAATCCACCAAATAATTTATAAAATAGGAGACAGCTTTGAGAAAATGTTGGGAGCCAACCATGGAGGCCCACTGAATGTTAGGGATCAGGAAGGGCCATTGACCCCGAGACCACTGGGATGTATTCGGGAGCTGGTGACACATTCCCTCCCTCCTTTTCCATTTGGCACAAGCTACCAGGAAAGGCTCCAGCTGACTCTAACAGAAAACTCTGAGACTGGAACGTACACAACTAAACCTGGGAGTCTATTGTTCCCATTTCCCACAGTTTATGGTTTTTGCTTTTAAACAATTTAAGTTTAACTTTTAGTCACATTGAGGAAACTTAGTACAAGTCACAGGTTCTCTTGATGTGATTTAAGAAATTTATAGATAAAGGTTTTAGAAAATAGTTTATAGATTATAGATTAAGAAAATTTTAGTAACCATTTAATTATAGAACTGTGGTTAGTTCAGTTGATTTGGGGGGGCAGTGAAGTTTGTATTAGGTTGGCTAGTGCTAGGAGAGAGTAACCATAGCACCAACTGTTTATAGAAACCAGTTTGAATTAGCATAGAGTAGTAAAAGGTAATATATCATTATGTTGGTTTTAGGTGTAAGTATTGAACGATGTTATGTAGCTATAAACAATTAAGGGTACATAGAAACTGGATAAGAACTTCATGTTTTTCCTCTTGTTTGAAAAATACATCTGCTTGAGAGTGGGGGGTGTCCTGTGTGCACCTGGACCTGTTGATGTGAAAGGCACATGCTACCTTTTGTGTAACCATAGCAGCAGGAGTTCCTGTGATAATAACTTTGCAGAGTTTGGGGATAAAAGCCCTGGGATTACACCCATTAAAAGGCTTCTGGTCACTTGAGCATGAGTCCAGTCTCTTTCTTTCTGCCCCCTTTCTTTCTCTTTATATCTATCCCTCCAGTTTAAATCACTGATGCCATCACACTGCCAGAGACCTCCAAATCCCTGCAGGGGAAGGACCCCCACAACAGCACAGGTAGAAATTAAGAAATTAAGTAAATATAATTTTTGCATTGGCACTCTTCCTAAAAATACAAACTGTAGCTTCTCAAATTTCTCCAATTCGTTGCCAATCAGAAGAAATAAAAGCTTACAGGTAATTATCTACCTGCACACGATATTTAAAATCTCTATTGATAATTTCCTGGCCAGATCAGTGAGTTCACTGACAAACATTAAATCGAGCACTTTGATTTTTTACAATTTTCCCAACTACAATGTTTAATCATGTGATTATATGGTTTAATACCAGGAGGCCGGGGATGTGGAAACCTAGGGAGGAATTCAAATGAAGGGAAGGTAGTTTTTCAGGAATTCCCCTCTTGCCTTTTTGCAAGGGATAGTAGAGGCGTGAGTGGAATTTTGCTTTCCATACTCAGACTGTACAGAACTTTTCAACTGCACTAATAACAAAAGTAGAAGAAGCAAGGGTCTCAGCTGCCCAGGTTCGCTTTGCAACCCGGGGTCTTCAGCACCCTGGACTTTGTCAGCAGGCAGGTCTCCATGGCTGGCTCCCTACATTCAGCATTGATATGGAAGGGGAGGTAGTTATTATCATGAGTTTCTAGGTGAGGAGACTGAGGCTTTGAGTGTTCAAGAACTTGCCATCTCTTGCACAGCTAGCAGAGCTGGCCTGTGAATTCTGATCTTCCTGTTCCTGGCTCTGAGGTTGTGGCTAATTCTCCATCCTGCCTCTCTTGCAAAGAGGAACTGACTGGAGGGCTCATTGCTTCTAACCAGCACTCACCTGGCTCCTCCACTTTACGTCAGGGATGGGATCCAGAGCACTGGAGCCACTAATTGTTCATCCTCTCTTCAGGGACCCAAAAGAAACCAAATGCTACAAACATGGAGGAGGACACTACTGAAGAAGGGGGGCACTTCTTTTCTATCCTGGGTGTCCAAAGCAGACAAGAAATGTGCTGCCCTTATTGTTGTAGAGTTTGTCTCCGTTTTCCTGAATCAGGACCCCTAAAACTGGGCTGGAGGGAGCTAAGGACACACAATACTATTTCAGAAGCACACCATCTTCTGGGTATGTTACACACAGGCACTAACATGCAAACTGCTGTCTCTGTGATGGGGAAACCCAGGTTCAGAGAGGATTGATGAATTGCTTAGGTTCACAGCACTAGCAGGTAGCTGAGCCCTTTAGAACAACATCTGATACAAGGCCGCCACCTGCCTCTCATGAGACCATTCAAAGCAGTAGAACTCACTGTGCTGACAAGAATGAGGCCTTTGCTGTTTTATTCTGCACTGTCAATGTGCTGCAGACAGATCGTGCCTAGCCCAACTAAGGTGCAGGAGTCCACCTGACTCCCTTCTCAGTTCATGGGGACCTGCCATTTCATTCACCCCACTCAGTGACTGATAGGGAGAGATTTATAGAGATCTCAACCAGATGTAGCAAAGAAATGAAAAGTAAAGTGAAATGTATGGACTTGTGACCCGACTAAAGGAGCTCCATGGACAGTCAGGGAGAGGAGCGTCCTGGGAAAGATGGGGGTGCTGACTGGGAACCTGCTGACCAGGGCCTGCCTGCTCCAGCAAAACTGCGATGTGACAATTCCAGACATACCAGGAAAAGGCTTGACTGTGTCCTCCAAGAGTTCCTCAAGGGGATCTACTCTATGCACTTTGAAAAGAAAAACAATAGTGTAAGAGGGTGTCCAGTGAGAAGTAGGTCTCCCTCCTGGCCAGTTCTCCAGCTTCCTTCCTCTCCAGAAGTTCCACTATGGATGGTTCTCATGTGTCCCTGCGTTATACACGAGGACATGGGCAAACACAAGGACATATCTGTTCCCATCCTTCTCCTTTCCCAATGAGAACACCCTGCACACACTGGTCTGCAGTTGGTTACATTGTCAACACACTTGGAAGGGTATTTCCCATCCCTTGATGTAGAACTGCTTTATGATTTCTCGAGGACTTGCAGTCTTCATGGAATGGATGAACCCAAACTTACTTAACTAGTCCCTTACTACTTATCCCCAAGCGCATTTTACCTCAACACAAAAGTGTAAGATTAGGATGACACATGACTTGAGGGAAGGTATCTGTTGAGTGCTGCTAGATCCTCAAGCGGGCTGAACCAAATCCTAAAATGGACTGCAGAGTTCCGGAGTGGAGGGGTCTGAGATGGTGAGTCAGAACAGACCTTGCCTTGCCCCTGTTGCTGTGGAGGTTCCACTTGCTCGTCACTGTGCTGTGCCCCTTCATGGGCTGGGGTGCCACTTCCCTTATCGGACTGGCAGGCAGCAGCATCACTCAGGAACTTAAAAGAAACACAAATTGGTACATTCTCAGGTCCCATCTCAAGCTGAAGCAGAGAGTCTGAGTGCAGGACCCAGAAGTGTATGTTTTACACACCCTCCAGGACACTGATTCTTCTTTGCTCAAGTGTGAGAACCATGATGGGACCAGTGCCTCACTACCATTAACACCCAGGAAGCTGGTAACTGTCTGGAGGACCACGCTGTACTCCACACGACCTGAAGCACAACATGGAGGGGGTGGGCTTTGAGCATGACCAGCATCAAGGCTCCCCATGTGACTCCAACATGCCACCGAGGTTGAGGCTCATGTCCAAGTGCAAATGTGATTGAGCAGAATCACCTGGGGTCAGCAGTGGGGCGGTGGTAGGCAGGACTTGTGTGACAGATTACTGGGCCCTGCCTGTAGAATTTTTCATTCAGTAGGTTTGGAATAAGAGCTGAGTATCTGCCTGTCTCATACTAGGTGATGCCAATGCTTGGGCTCACATGTGAGGACTCCTGCCCTAGAACAATTGTTTCTCAGGCTTCACTGTCTCATAGAATATCTAGAGAGCTTTAGACATCAATCTCAATGGCTGTGGTCCATGCTGAGAAATCCTGGCATCAGCCTGGGCGATTCCAACATACTGCCAGGGTTGAGATTCATTGCCCTTGACTGAGTTCCGTGGGGGATGAGATGGGTCTCTTAAGTCCCCAGCATCCAGCGCTGGCCTGTGCACATGCATACTACTTGCTCAGTGAATGTTTATTGAGGAATAAAAGGGCTTGGTCCTGCCCTTTCCACAGTGAACCTGAAGTACTGTCTGGGAGACTTTCCCTGACTATCCTAGACTGCATCTTTGTCAGACCTACTACATTGTATTGTTACTGCTTATTTTGTAAACCTCTGGACTGACAGTTCTTAAATAGTGGTCTGTGACTGACCTCCATAAGAATCATCTGGATATGTCAGGATGCAGATTCTAGGGCCCTTGCACAGATCTTTGGAACCAGGCTTTCTGGAGAGGAAGTCAGGGAATTTGAATTTTTGACCCATGTCCAGGCAATTCTCATGTATGCTGGAGTTATAAGGAAAAGTCCTGATATAGACAGTAAAATTGAGGGAGCAAGGATCTGTCTGTCTTGTCTACCAATCAATCCCCTGACTGGCACTGAACCTGGCATGACACGGAGAATACCAAATGGACTAGGAATAGGCTGAAACTGGCAGCAGAGAGAGCCTGGCATCTAGGATCAGAATGGAGTCCAGGGAACAAACTGTCGTCAGGGCTCAAGTGCAAGCCCAAAATTCCTGAGTTAACCTGTGGCAGGACTGACTGAGCCCAGATCTTAGAGGTCTAGACTGGAGGGGAAAAGAATGCCAAAGGTGACTGGAGGGTCCAAGGCACAAGTGCCCAGGAGCACAAACACTCCAACTTCTGACCCAGAGATGGACACTTGGGAGGGGTCAATGGCCCATGGTCACAGACTGGAGACTGGGATCACTGGTCTGGCAAGTGCAGTGTGATTCTGGGAATCACTGGCCTGGCAAGTGCAGTGTGATTCTCCCAGATGCCCAGGTTGATGTGGGTGGTGATCTTGTGCTACAGAGCTGGAAAATTCCCAAAATGCACAATGAAAGGTGCTGGCAGCTCCAAAGCCTGACACTCCCCCCACCCCACCCCTGCAGACAAAGAGGAGGAAAGTCCTGGAGAAGGATCTGGAAGACAGGCTGAAAATCTTGGGAATCAAGAAGGTAAGTGGCAGTGTCACTATTTGTGGGGCTGATATCTACTATTTAGAGACAGGTTTTTCTCCAAGTGACAAATGTCAGATGATTTTTGCATGGCAGATTCATCCATCTCATCTGATCCAAACTGGGCTCTTTTGGTGTCCAGGAAGGGAAACCCTCACAACTTTTTCACCCTCAGTTCATAACAGCAGTATGTGTGCTTTCTTTTCTCTGTTTCTCGCAGTGGCCTCTTAAGATTGGCCCTGCTTGACCAGTGATGCCACCTGAGTCCTGACTGTTCAGTGTTTTCCACTTACTGGGTACTTCATTCTGTGTCTCTGATGACATCTTCTGCCAGAGAACATTTAATGGGCTCAATCTGGCCTACGGACAGGCTCCCTTGGGCAAGTGTCCATCTCCAAGTCCATTATCTGTGACACATGTGACCATGCCCACTCAGCAGGTGGCTGTGGGTGGGTGGGCAGGCACTGGGAGATATACCTGCTAGTAATTAGTATGTGAAGGTCATTGCACTGAACCAGAGCATGCAAGCTACGGTTGGAGGCACCAATGAAATCTATGATTAGATGAAAACACACTCGTTATAATTCTATTTGCATAGAGTAAGTTAGAAAAATTAGACACCTAGGTCTCACTTAGTAAAAATGCTCACTTAAATTGACTTTTTGCAATCCCTGCTGATGAATACTTTTCTTGTGAACCTGCAACATTCCTCGTCTTGGATTCAGAGCCTCCCCAGACCCTCTCTTAGGCTCTGGGTGAATGTCAAAGGCCCAAACAACTTGCCATAGGTTTTGGAGGGCTCCCTGGCTTTTGTTGATTGCAGTTGAGTTTTTCAAACACTGTTAGCCATCGACAATGCATCTAGCATAATGATAGTGCTTGGGGATACAAAGAGGAGCCAGCTGTGGTCTGTCATCTTGGGACTCACGTAGGTGGTGGAAGAGCCTGTCCCATTCAAGGCCCTCATGCTGTGATGTGGATGGAGTTTGATGCAGTCATTCCCACTGTCCTCCTATGCATATTTCCATGGGGCTCCCAACCCTGAGCCTTTGCACTTCCAGCAATGTGTGAAGCCACTGCTCACCCCCTCTTATCCTCACTTTCTATGCACCTCACTGATACAAGAAAAGCACCAGGAGCTCATCACACACTCTCAGATCAGCAGCAGGTAGAGAGAGACTTGGGGGAAGGAGAAAAAGGGGAGCTTCTGTCTGTAGAGGTGAACTTCTGTCTCCTCTAGCATGTGAAGGGAATATCAGCGCAGAAATTCAGACGCCTGCAGCTGAAGATCTTACAAGAGAAGACAGCCCAGAGATTTCCTGTGCTTCCAAATTTGAAGATAAAGTTACTCAAAGAAGGCCAGAGAAGAATGAAGAACTTGAGGCCTTGAAATCTCTGTCTTCACAGAAGCACGGGAATTTGCATCCCTAGACCCAAAAGTTTCCATTTATAGAAGACTCCCAGATGCTCCGGGCTGCTGTTATTGGGGAATTTGGAGAAAGGGCTTCCTTGGGTCTGTGTCAGCTCATGCAGGGGGCTATCCTGCTCTTTTTCCCTCTCCTCAGTCACAGACACATGCAGCCAGTCCAAGCCTGAGTCCTTCACCCAAAGACATTTTGCAAAATGGGGTCCACATGTCTCTGGGCATTTGAGAGATGCTTTTAGCTGCTCCTTGGACCCAACATTTCAAATTTGTTTTTCCTCATGTGAAGTAGAAGGAAATAATACTAACATAGCAATCCTGTGAGTGCATGGAAATTATTAGGTGGACAAGTATAAAGCAGCTATTTGGTGATTAAAAGTGCTGTCATTTCATATTAAAACATTAAACAGATAATAAGACAGTTGTGATGAGAATATGATAAAAATTATGTTGATAACCTGGGAAACTATTTAGTTTCAACTTCTGTTTTTAAATCTCTAAGGAGCAAACAATTAGCTTTGCACAAAAAACTCAGGCAGAAGGGCATTTGTCCTGGTTGCTAACCTGCCTGCACACTCCAATTCAAGCTGATATTCCGTTGCTCATTCCTTCAAATGTTCATTCACTCATTCATTCATTCATCCAATTGTTCATTGAATTCAGAATTTGCTGAGGTTGACTCTGTGCCACGCCTGCCATGCCACCTGGGAAACTAGCCAGGACTAGGCAATGAAGCCAAGCACAGGGGTGGTGGGAGCTTAGAGGAGGGAAGGGGCAGGGACATGGGGAGAGTGAATGGACACATCCTCGGAGTGCCAGCGTCTGAGCGAAAGAAAGGGTATCTTGCTCTTTGTTGGTGCCCTCCACTCCCAGTTGTTCCTGTAGTGAGGAAGCCAGCAGGGGTTGCTTTCCCTGGCCTTCCCTCCCCTTCCCTGGCCCTTGGGCTCTGCTTTCTCCAGGCACATCATGGAGGCATGGATGAGAGCTGCTGCCATGACACCCTGGAGAACTTTTCTGTAAACCACAGTCTCTTCTTGGGTCCCACAAGTGCTGTGCTAATGCTCACCTCCCATCTCTGCTTAGACCATGCTTCCTCTTGTTTTGGGACAAGGCTGTGGGACATGGAGAAAGCAAAGGCAAGAGCCCAAGTTTGAAACAGACTGATCATCTGGGCTGACATCCACCACTTTCTTTCATGGAATTGTGGGCAAGTCTCTTGATCTCTCGAAGCCTCTGTAGGGAAAATGATCATCTCTGACAATTCTCTGAAGGCCAAATGGTTGTTGTAGGAAACTGCTCTCCTTGGTCTCTGGCACACAATAACTGTAAGCTCTTGCTACTTTGCCTCACACGTTTCACTTTGTCTCCCACGTTTCACTTTGTCTTCCCCTTCTCTTCAGGTCACTCTTTCGTGGTAGGGGTCCTCTTCTGAAAAAATGTATTATCCGAGAGCATTGAACCATTTAACCTTGAACAACACAGACGTGGGGCTTAAACCCCCATGCACTCAGTAACCAAGTATAACATATAACTGCCCAAAACTTAAATATTAGATGCATAACCAATAGGACAAATAGTTTTTTAATATTATACGTATTATATACTGTATACTCACAATACAGTGAGCTAGAAAGAAGAACATGTTATTAAGGAGATCACAAGAAAGGGAAAATCGATGTACTCTTCATCACGTGAAAATGGGTCATCATAAGTGTCTTTATCCTAGCCATGTACATGTTGAGTAGGCTGAGGAGGAGGAGGAAGAGGAAGGGTTGGTCTTGCTGACCAGAGGGTGGCAGAGGAAAATTCATATGAGTGAATTTGATCAATTTAAACTTGCTTTGCTCAAGAGTCCTCTGTATTTCTGACATTTGAACTATAGAAAGAAACGCATGTTACATGGTGGCACAATCCACAAGTGTTGTAGTTTCACAAACAGCACTTACTCTGACTCCTTGTGGTGCACTTTCTCTCCTCTCCACTCTTTGCAAATGTAACTGAGGCTTCTGGACCCCTGTGTCCTCCAGTGGGTCCTAATGTGATTAGGAAAAAAGAACTATGTGTAATTGCCTGCTTTGGGCACCACCTCTTGCCAGTCTGTGTTTGTTGGAGGTTGGAAGTGCATCCTGATGGCTCTTGAGTCCTGCAACCTCTGGAGACAGCAGGGATGCCTGCATGGGGGTGGCTGCAGTGTGGGTGGGTGGGTGGACAGGATGGGTGGACTGGGCGGGGTCCACCCCAAGGACTGTGGCAGGAAGTGTGCTGCAGACAGACATGCTGAGCTCCTCTTTAGGCCTGCTGACACCTGCTGGTCACCCGTAATGACGAGACCCTGGAGCAATGGCTTGCTCTTCTGGTCTCTGAGGAAACCCTGGAACTGGGATCCTCCCCCAAGTTCCTTGCAGAGGCAGAACATCTGGAGTGGGGCAGCTAGAAGTTCTGCAGTGGTGATAATGGTATACTGACAAGGAGTGGCTGGTCCATTTCCCAAGTGTCAGCACCCCCTTCAACCTCCTCTCAGGCTTCAGTCCAGTGAGGGTGTACTCTGACCATCATTCTTCTCTGTGTTTCCAGTCAAAAGCCAGCCGAGCAATTTGGACACGAGAGACCACGCCAAAGCTTGGAACCCTGCAGGTGATATCACCATCCAAGCCAGCAAAACCGCCCACATTGACTCTTCAGAGGCATGGCAGCCGTGGGCACAAGCTGATCCAGACGACCACCCCTACTGCATGTCCCACAGTGCCTGGCCCCTCTAGCACTCCAGCTTCCCTGGGGCCTTAATTGAGGTGAGCTCCAACTCTGCCCTCTCGGGGATCGGTGATGATGTCTCCTGACCTCGGCCAGCCCTGTTCTACCTCCCCATGGGCTTCTGCACACAGGAGAGGAACAGAGACTGATGTGAACAGGAGGTGGTTGGGGCCACCTGAACTCTGAAGAAGAGACTCGGACCCTTGACTCCCAGCCACGACAGATGCCCCTCCCTTCACCTGTCTCTTCTCCAAGCCCAGCTACCACACTGGAGGGACTGGTCCTCAGATGGCAGGCCTGCCTCCCTCTGAGCCCACTTCTAAGGGAGAAGTCGGTATAGCTGCTACACTCCAGAATGACTCTGGGCTGAGGGAGGGAGCAGGGCTGGCTTTGGGTTACACAGACAAACTGGTGACATGTACCTGTGGAAGTTTTCTCCTGGCCTGCAGCTCCCTCATTTCTTCCTAGCCACACAGCAGCACGCCCCCATTCAGTTCTAAAGAGGATTGGGAGAGAGACTTCATGCAGAATGTGTCTCTGCAGACCCTGAAATATCCTTCCAGGAGGGTGCCTAAGGGGAAAGGTGACAGACAGAGGGACCAGAATAGTGGTAACAGCTCGGAGACAATGCCCCAGTCCAGCTCAATGAACTGACTTCCTCAGGTGAGTTCCTGTGTGCCACCTCTCTAGTCCAGGTTTCTCCAGGCCCAGAAATCTTCTTCCACTTCCTCAGGGCTCTCTGAATACCTGCACAGTTTTTTAGGCAGTTTGGATTCATTGGCACCGGATTGCAAATTTCTGGTCAGAGTTCACTCAAACGGTGGTCAAAGCATCCTCCAGGGTAAACCTTGGTTGCAACTTGAGAGAAATCAGTTGTCTATGGTGAAAATTGACACATAGAGTTTTCTGTAACACATGCAGTCAATACACACAGCTGTTCATAACAAAACAAGAGTGAAACAAGTTTCCTGGCAAAGCTTGAGATGAATGGGGACAGCCATGAGAGGTAACAGTCAACCTTTATATAGGGCTGCTTTTGGGTCACAGCAGCCCTGTACAAGGTACTGGAAAGTCTTTGCCCTTTTCAGCCAGGAAACCTAGAAATTCACCTTGTTGAGAAAAGGGGCATCATGGAAACAATCAAAATGTTCTGGTAACTAGAATGAAAGTAAATATTCATTCACCTTAGAATTTACTAAGCAGTGATAATGATTTTTTTAGCATCTTTCTTCACAAAACAACTGTGTCTCCTCCCATTCATTCAAAGTTTTCCTGTAAAGCTGCCAACTGAGGCCTGTAGCTTCTGGCTACTGTTGCATGTCCTATCCAAGGGTGTGGGAAAAGACATGGAACTTAGAGTTCTGCCTTTCCAAACTCAGTAAGTAGATACTTGGGATGTGAGCCTAGGTTTGCAATCAGCAAAGTCCCTCCTTTAATAGACTGCAGAATTTGGTCATAGCACAAGCATAAGCTGAGCCTGCCAGTCCATCACAATCAGATCTCTGGAGAAGGACTGGCCTGGAGGCAAGGGCAATAGGGTGGCGGGATCTTGGGACCAGAAGTCAAGAGACTTCAGAGTCAGTTCTGGCTCTGTCGCTTCTGAGTAAATGCATTCTGACAGCAGTGAACCATTGAGCCTTGAACAACACAGGGGTAGGAGCTTAAACCCCCGTGCACTCAGTAACATGTATAACATATGACTGCCCAAAACATAACTATTAGTAGCCTATTGTTGTCCAGAAGCATTAATAGTAACATAAATAGTTGATTGATTTGAATATTATACATATAATATATACTGCCTTCTCACAACAAGAGTGAGCTAGAGAGAAGAAAACATTATGAGGAAGATCACAAGAAACAATAACAGATTTACTCTTCATCCCATGGAAATGGGCATGATAAATGTCTTTATCCTAGTCATCTACATGTTGAGTAGACTGAGGAGGAGAAGGAAGAAGAGGAGAGGTTGGTCTTGCTGTCCCGGGGCAATAGAGGAAAATCCATTTACAGGTGGACCTGCCCTATTTAAACCCGTGTAGCTCAAGAGTCCTCTGTATTTCTGACATTTTTTAACTATAGAAAGAAATGCATCTTACATGGTGACACAATCCACACGTGTCATAGTTTCATGAAGAGTACTTACTCTGACTCCTTGTGGTGCACTTTCTCTCCTCCCCTCTTTCCATACAAAATTGGAGATCCTGGACTCCCTCTTCCTCCTAGTGGGTCTTGATACAATATGGGAAACAGCGGAACTGTGTGCAAAAGTCTGCTTCGGGCACCACCTCTTGCCCGCCTGTGTTTATAGGAGGTTGCCAGTGCATCCTGATGGCTCCTTGAGTCCCGCGACCTCTGGAGGCAGCGGGGATGCCTGCACCGTGGTGGCTGCAGTACAGGTGGGTGGGTGGACAGGGCATCAATGCAGGTCACAGCATTCGATGGAGTATCTGTAATAGATACCTCGTTCTGTGTATCCAAGACCATGCCTCCTTGCTAAGACTTGCAACCTGGGAGTTGTGCAGCTTCTCTCCCCCATCAGAACAACCTCCACACTCCTGGTATTTTCTTAGTAGAAAGTTTCAGAGCTCTGTTTACATCACACGCCTTGCTCACCTTTCTCAGTCAAAAAGGTGCATCAGGGAATGACCTTGCTATTGCCCTCAAATTCAGAATAGTGGGCAATCATTTGCAGGTTTTAGAGTATTTTCCCCACTTTTGACTACGGACATGTTTAGATTATCACAAACACACTTGTGCATGTTTGTGACTAACAGGTCCAAAGGATTTAAACAAACATATGACCTAAAAAATATATCCTGTTCTCCACATTGTGAAAGAGCACCAACAACCCCCAGCAGGATGAGGCACTTTTCAGAGTAGGCTTGCTGGTTGCTTGGCCTGACATTCCTGGGGAAAATGTGTAGAATGGCCTATGTCGGTGGGACACTGAGAATATGGAGGGGAAGGCCTGGGCTGCTACACAGGGGACTGTGGTGTGGGTATGGCCTGGTCCTTTGGCTGACTCTGAGCTGTCCCACTGGAGGCAACACAGATCCTTCTAGACGGGATTCCTGATCTCCCCTCATGCTCTGTCACTGAGAGCATTTACCACATTCACCAGGCCTGAGAGCCAGTCTGAGAGGAGGGGCATCCTTTAACCCAGGCTGCATTCAGTGCAATAACTTGGAAAGATTAAGGCTCTGGGCACTGGTTCTGTCCATGTGGGGTGTTAAAAATCCACACATAGGATCAATGAAAGGAGAGTAGCCAGATCGGCACACAGGCCTTTACATGGTGTTAGACTGGGTTGGTGAGTAGAATTTCAGGGTATTTGGATTCACTCTGACACCAAGTCTCTATGTCAGTTCTCAAGGCAAGGAGATCTGAGGAGGCAGGAGGAGCAGTGTTTCCATGGTGATCTCTTCCTTGTCTGCATCTGTCTCCTTTCCATGCTGCATCTCTACCCTGCCCTGTGCTCAGCTCTCTGCCAACCTCCTTCCTTACTAAAATGCATCTTCTCCTCCCATTTCCCTCTGCAGGTTCATGAAGACGACAGTGGCTCGGTGATCTTTTCCTCAGCATTTGTACTGTAGAACTTGGACAAGAGAAGAAAACCTAAACCCTTGCATCACTCCCAGAGAAGTTGAACTCTTGTTCTTAGAACCCCAGCTGATGTGAAGACCCTGGCTGGTGATCCTGCCTCTGAGCCTGGCTGGCCATAAGGTCAACCTTGCTGCCTGGCCGAGGCCAGCTCAGTTTCCAGTCATGAACAGGCCAGGACTGCCCGATCTCTCAACTCTGGGAAGCTCCCCAGATGATGCCAGGCAGGGTTAGGGAGTTTCTCATGTTCTTCCATAACACCCTGATCTGTCATGCGATTACTTCCCATACTGGCACTGGCTGTAGATGTTCTGCTCAGCCTCTGCCTGAGCCCCAAGTCAGTAGTAGTAGCCATTAGTAGTAGTAGTAGCTGGAAAACTCAGCGGAGATCCAAAGAGAAGGTTGCAATTCTTGTCTTCGCCTGTGACTAAAAGCTACTTCCCTTTGGAGAGAAACAGAAAGTAAGCAGATACAGTCTCTCCCCTCCCTCCCTACCACAGAGGCCATGGTGCCTCGCAAGTGCCTGCAAGTCCCAAGTGTGATTAAGGATTATGATAGTATCCGTAGGTAGTTTCCTTTTTCCAGCTCCACATCACCTCAGATTGAAGAGAGTCACTCAGTCTCTCTGCCCATACCTCTTGTAAATGGGCAGGAACGCTGTGGAGATGGGTGTTGTGTGGGTCTATTTGCGGATATATGACTAAGCCAGTCATTTAGTGATTGATTCCAAGTCAGTCATGGAGCGCTCACCTAGGGCAGAACTTCTTAACCAAAACAATATGAGGTGGTCTTCTCGTACTGACAGGCTGAGGGCCACTGGAGCGGGACCTCATATCCCCAAAGGACCACATGTTTAAGTTTCAATATGATTTCTAAAATCAAATTGTATATATACACAGCCATTTGTATTTTGTTTAGTGAGAAAAACATTAATTTATTACGTGCAAACATTTAAAGGCAGCATGATGTTCTTACTCTCTGGTGTGTTATTTCAGTGGTGCTGAAGCTTCGAGGGGGGTGGGGAGTGCAGAGGACAGGAAGCAGCCTGCAGTGCAGTATGTCGGTTTAGACCTTTGGGATGCAGTTGCCAAGATGGAGTCCTTGAGGAGACACACCTGGGCAAGGTGAAGGCGGAGGAGGCAAGATTGGGTAGGGAGAGGCTGCAGAGTGCAGTGCAGACCTGACCACTGTGAATGGCAA